GCAGGAGTGAGGGAGGTCTCCAAGGCAGGATGGCTGCCCCACAGAACGCAGCTTTTGTGGGTCGCAGACCCATACCAGAACCCTGTCTGCCCTCCTCCGACCCCCACGTCCTTTAAAATAAAGACATCATTCTCAATAGTGGCCAAAATAAGATTTCACAACAGTCCAGTGGAACTGCAATGAGGCACACGACGTATGGAAAATATGATAAAAAGGAACTGCATCTCTTTAATTTCAGATGCACATTGAGTTAGGGATATTTATGTGCTCTTAGCAGAACGTGTAACGGCTCAGATGAGGCAGCTACAAGGCCTCCAAAAGTTTCTTCAAACAACTGCTTGAAAAATTAATGTGAACAGAAAAGCCATCTAAAACAGCTTTTCTATGAACTATTTCCCAATGCTCTGAGAACTTAAAGCACTACAACATAAGAAGAATGGCGTACCAACAGCCATGTAGCTTCATTATATAAAGGGTACAAAGTAAGCCATAATTGGCAAAGAGATGATAAATACATATTTTTTTACTTACTTTAGTAAAAAAAGAAAAGATTTGAAGCGATTGTGTTACGTGCATCTTTAATGGCATTCCTCTAGAAATAACACTGTAACAGCTGAATTGAGGACTATGTATTTAAAAGTACACCCAAGCCTAAGCTGCATGAAGACAGGTAATTGCAGATTAATATGCCACTGTAATACTTATACACGAGAGTGCTGAGTTAAAGTTGCCATGGGAAACAAGGCTGAATTTCTTCACTTTTCAGCAATTTGCCATCAACCTCAATACAGGTTTTGGCAGGTGATTTCTAACGCACTGAGCTTAACAGCTACACAAGAACCGTGCTAGCAGAAAGTTGCTGCAGGGGGATACCCAGGTAGAACAGGCAGAGACCAACACATCTCCATTATCAGCCCTTCCAGGGGATGGGAGCAACCAGCTGCCTCGTGAGCCACCTCTGGAAGTCCTACTCTGCCCTTTGTAAATCACCTGAAAGAAAGACTGGCTCTCATTTGTTCACGTGGTTTTGTGTTGCAATCATACCTTATTTGTACACTTAAAGATAAATTAGTAACTGAACATCTGCATATTCGTAGTCTCGATGATTGCAGTTTATGTTAAAATGGTGAGCAACACTCTGTATTTATTAACAGGTGTGTCCAGTTTCGCTTGACATTTTTAATTAAAAGCACACGCACAAAGAGTCAAACATTAAAGGAACTTGAAACAAATAAGATACACTAAAGAAAACTACTCAATGTTTTTGTATTTAAACCATGCTGTTTAAGTGAGCGAGGAAGGTTATCATCTGCAATTCATTTATTTCTCTGCCTCTGGTCACAGCCTCCTTTAGCAGAGATCTGTCCATGTCATACCTTCAGAGAGAGAGGGAGGGGGGCATTTCTAATTCCCAGCTGATCAGCAAATCTGAGTGAACCCAAGACATGAAGTCAAATACTTGAAAACCCGACCTGAACCAACAGTACCTTCACCACTGCCAAAAGTTCATTCAGCAGTGGAACAGCTTCTACCCCCAGCAACTTCCCCCAGGGCAGGGCCTGATGCCCTTCTGCACCACCTGGCAGCAGGCACACAAGCTTAAAAAAAAAAATTCATTTTTCATGAAAGTGTTTCTATGTATTACAGTAGAGGCTGACATCCCACGTAGGGGCCTAAATTCAAATTTAGGTATGAAAAGCTCTGATTTCTATGATTCTGTCAGACTTTTTTTTTTTTTTTTTAAACCTTTAAGAAAATCATCACTTTTCATCCACTTGGCAGAAGCTGAAGACAAGCTGCAGGGCTTGCTGAGTGAATGGGACACAGCTCCTCAGGGCACTGCCAGCACAAGGGTACAGGCAGCTGCAGATCTGAGCCTGGGCAGCTCCTCAACACAGCACTGAAAGCAGGGGCCAAGATAAACAGCTGCATGCGAGGACAAAGGAACAGAGGAGCAAGCCTCCCACTTATTTGTGCATCTTCACTTGTGTATCTAAAGTACCATACGTACCTACCCTTACGAGCTGACAGTGTACAAAAACAGGCACTTAAACTGTTAAACTGTTAGACAGCAGGGGAAAGAGAAAGCAGCAGAGCTGAAGCTGACGGATGAAGCAAGCTGCCACTGCTGCAGGTCCAACTCCTGCTTGACACTGCTAGGCACTGGATCAAGTTCCAAACACGAGGTAAGCTTTGAAGAGATGCAAGGAAGCAGCCATAAACATCTCTTACTGCCAGCCCCTTGCTGACCTTTGGCTGGTTAAAACACTACATGACACAGGCTGTGCCTCTATTCTTCCACTTTTCCCACTTATTCATCTGGGGCAATGCAGATAAACTCTCCACCTTCTTTTCTGTCTGGGATGGTCTCATCATTCATAAATAAATCTGTAAGCCAACCTGCCCTTTTGTGCATTTAAACATGCACTTTGATTTGGGGGCATATCTGCTGAAAGCTATCAAGACAGGGAGATGACAAGGATGCAGGCTGATTGGCATGCTCTGTGCCACCAGCCCTGAGAGCACCTCTCCTCTGCAGACAAAGGGCAGAGACCACAGAAGTGGTGAAGCACAGGGCAGCTGCCACATAGCCAGCAGTCACACCACAGATGGCTTCCCAGGGGAACACTGTTGTCCTTGACTCTCCTTGATCCCCTTTACAGATGCTGTGCCACAGAACCTTGGAGGGGACCAGACAGCATGAAAGAGGATGGAAACGCAGGAGCTCTGAGTGAGAAGTGAGGCGAGGCTGTCAGCTGCAGAGGAGCACATATAAGTAAATACAGAGGAAGGGGGAACAGACGTGGCAGTACATACCTTGGCATAGAGAAAAAGATAGCTCCTGCTGCTAAGGAGCTGGGATGTTTTGAAGAGTAGTCAGTGAGAAATGTGAAGTGTACCGCACAGTACAAGTGTGCTCTGCCAGACTTCCAGGCTGAGCTGGCTAAATTTACAGCTATGACTACCCACTGAATGTAACTTGGATCACGGCTTAGCTCTTTATGCAGCCTCCTCATCAAATTCTAGAGCATTTGGATTTCAATGTATCACTTACCACGCTTCTATTTTGCGAGTAAGGAAACAAAAGCAGAAGAACCACGAGGATCACAGCTAAGATCAGAACCTGACCACTCCCAGGTCCGCTCTCATACTGCATCTCCAAAACCTGTGTGCCACTGCTTCACTGGAAAATACAGCCAGGAACACCTTGCACAAAAATCAACATCATTGATATACACAGCGCCGTTTGCTCACCCAGACATGTAGCCCTGCAATGATCAGAGCAACAGCCACATCAGTAAGCAAAAAGGTGAAACACAGGTAGGGGCATCAGCTAATAAAGGCTCTTTTCTGTAAAGCTGCCCAATTCCAGCAGGCAAATTCAGCCTTTTCAGTGACACCGATTCCTATGCAGTAAGAGCATTATTTATTTGTCAAACTCATTTGTTTGTGAGGACGTGAGGGCCTGACAGCCCTTACAGCACACAAGATATGATGCAGACAGGCACAGAACAGAGCAGACAGAAGAAACAACGCTGAAGAACATCTCCACCTTAAAGGTGCAACAAAATATATAGCGGATCTGCATTGGCCCAGGCCATTACTTTCTCTGGCAAGGACTTGGGGACAAAGCTCCTTAAAACAGTAGTAATCATATTCCACTCATGCTCCTTTTTACTGCCAGCTGTAAACTAGCTCCACATGCATCATGGTTTTGCATCAAAATGTGCACGGACCAAGCCCATATCCAAAGGGACAAGGTAGATCCAATTTACAGCCTTGACAGATCTGTGCACCCGAGGCTGAGCGTGCAGGAAATAGCCTTACATCTCACTTGGAGAGCGGTTACAACCGCCAGCAGAGCGGGATGCAGAGCCACAACAGCCTCCCACAAAGACCCAGAATACAAGGAGAGAATGTGCAGTCCTTTTTGTCATGAAACAGGAGGGATGGGTGGCACTTGAGATGCCTACATCTGATCCCAACTCGCAGCCCTCCTTTGGTAGATAAGCTCAAAGGAAGCCACAGCTGCACTGGGAAGCAAACCCATTGCACCAAACCATCTCAGTAAAGAGATGCCACACTGATTTAGTATGTTTGAAGCAAAGCAAATCAAAGTAAATCTCAGACCTGATGCACGAATTAGCAGTAGCATTAGTATTAGTATCAGTACGAGTAGTATTACTTTTTGGTACAGAGGAGGGTACAAAGTCTGAGTTCAGCCTGGACACTAAGAAATTCTGTCCATTACCAGCCCGATATTTTATCTCTTCTTTTTTGGCATGTTTTTCCCATTTAAGCAGAAAACCTAGGCCCACACTGCTGATAATTGAACATATATTTAACTAACTTACTCTACTCTATGACGGAAGAACTGGCTGCAGAAATACATCCAAACCTCACCCAGATCTCTGCGTATCTCAGGAGGCCAGACACTGGCAAACCTTTCTGAGCAGCTCTGTTCCTGTCTCATTACACTCCAGAGTGAACACCCAGGCAAGACAATTTCAGCACCACCACACAGCTCAAAACCATTGTTCTCTGTTTAGAAACACCATTACTCTGCGCACACACATCATCCAAATTGTGTTTTGCTTTTTTTTTTTTTTTTTTTTTTTTTAAATAAACCATTGGCTAATAATAGACCTTTTCCTTACAGAATCAAAGGTTGCTGAGAGCACTCTACTAATGCAGGTTCCCAGTCAGCAATTTTCAACCCCCCACCACTTCAGGCAGACAACAAGCATACATGACTAAGTAGCGTCTGTGATAACACGTGTTATCACTTCCATGGTGAAAATCAGGCTCCTTCATTTCATTTCCATCACAGCGACCTGGCACTGCTGCTTGAGAAAGCAGGAGCTCTGGGGGAGCAGCAGTAGAAAGAAGGTGGGAGAAAACAAGGAAAGTGAGCTATTCAGAACTGCATCTTTTCTTTCCATCTCTCAGAATGGCAGTATCAGCTTACAAGCACAGAATTAACAGCGTCAACTATTTACCTGAGGATGAATCTGTGGTTTATCACATGTGGCCTCAAAATCCAGCACTAAGAAGTAGTGATATCTCTGTGGAGGGAAGGATGACATTGCTGCCATGGAAGCTCCAAAGCCGTGGGACGCCAGTTTCCTGCTTATGATGGAGCCGTACCCTTTGAGAAGAGCAGCAGGGAGGAGCAGGCACACAGCTTGTCTCGCCCTTGGAAGAAAGTGTTGGGGAAACTTTGCTGCTCCAGTATGGAGGAGTGCTATCATTGAACATCCAGAGGCATCTGAAACTGAAGAGAGATTCGTGTTACTCACGCGCTCACATCTCAGCGCTGTCAGCACCGCTCCATCGCACTCTGCCAGGGGTTTTCCTTGTGCTTCCCCGTGTGGCTTCCAGCACTGCCAACTAGAAGCAGCACAGCAGCCTGCACTAAGCACTATGGATGGAGCTCAAGGTAGCCCGAACCACATACACCTCGAGATCAACCCTCTGCAAACAGCTCTAAATGAGAAGTCACAGACAAAACAACAGCCGTGGCTCCAGGCACCACATCACACAAACCTGCTGAGCCTTATCACAGCACAACGCAAACTATTAATGCTTGAGAAGCTCAATCCAAAACCCACTGAAATATCCAAGGAGGCTTTTGCCTTTTTGTATACAACACAACTTCTAATACACAGCAGGAACTGAAGGCAGCAAGCACACCTCAGCACCATGACCCCTCAAAGCAGCCTATCAGTCACACCGAGACCTCCCTGCTCCTACAGATCCAGGACAGAGGAACTGACCGTGACAATGCCACCAGTCCACCCCGCTAAGCCAGCACACGGGCACCCCTCCAGCTCTGCTGGCTGACGGCAGCCACATCATCCCCCACACACAGCACAGCCTCTGTGGGGTCGAGGACACGGGGCACTGGCTCTGGGCACAGCCTGAGGTCCCACCCAGCCACGTGTACTCAATGCACGGAACGGGAAATGGAGCTCGCAGCCTGCGCACAAATGCACTATTTGCACAAAAGACAGCATTTGCTCTTTCCCATCCGTTAGTCCATCAGGTAAATAATGCACGTGCCAAAACACACACTTAATGAGGTAAATAATACGCCTTGAATAGCAGCTAAATCTGTATTTACCTGCGAGACCAGAGAAACTCGGAAGGACCAGATTAGGAGATAATTGCAGCTGAGCAGGTTGTGTGCTTCGGGTAAACATGCGCTCTGCAACCTCCCCTTACAGGGCCGGGGCCAGAGCAGCACCAGGCACAGCACAGCTGGGAAGCAGAGGTGCTGCGGGGCTCCCAGCACTGCCCACACTGCAAGCCCACAGTGTGAGCACTGCCACGCTTCAGATCTTCCACATTCTGGGGGGCTGCTCGCTGTGTTAGTGGTGTGCCAAGCAGCAGGTACTCAGAAAACTGAAAACTCAAGTTACAAAAGCATAATAGTTTCCCCACAAGACCAACGTTGTATTTATCCCAAAGGGGCTCAAGCCCGACCTATTGCTTTTCCATCTACAGCTTTTACCGTCATTAATAAATGCATTAATGCACAATAGCAGTTAGTCACATTCACTTCTAACCGCCTCAAATAAGAGATACTTAAGGTGTACGTGCTTGAAATTTTCAGGCCTTCAGCTATGAATCTGAAGGTCCATCACTGCAATGTAACATCTCAGAATACAGCAGCGTGTAAGTTAGTCATGGCAAAACCCGGCCTGTAGCCTGCTGCATAAAGCAAAACATACAGTTGGGATGGGGGAGGCAGGCAGGCTCCAACCCCTATATCAAGCACAGGCAATAAAGCACACCACGCTGTCCACCTACACAGCAAAATCAGCACTTCCCTCATGCATCTTCACCAGCATGGGCAGGGCATCGAACACGTGCAGTGTGAATCTTCAGGCCAGCCTGCAATGCACGGGCACTGTCAAACAGCTGACATGGAGAGCCAACCAACACCTTCCCAGGCACTCCGTGCCCATCTGAGAGGGAGCTGAGCACTGAGCAAGGTGTGCAGGTGGAGCATTCCGTGCCGACTGCCCTACGCAGACAGCATATGAACAGGAGCAACCCTGCTGCACAGCCTGCACTCAGAGCCAAATGAAGTTTTAACTGCCTGTTTACCCAGCCATGCTCCTGGTGCCCTGGGAAGACCTTACATCATCTTCTCTGGGAAGGTCAGAGTGCCTCCGAGCACAAGATAGCTGTTGAGCAAACATGCTTTATTAGAAGTCATGTAAAGCATTTATAACTGCTGTGACGATGCGAGGCACGAGTAATTATCCCTTATTTCTCCCCCCTCTAAACAGGCAACAACCCAAGCAGTGCAGCTTCAGAAACCAGAAACCCTGCTCTGCGCACATAAATCCAGGTTGCATGATCCCATTTCCACACCTAAGCAAAAAAGCACGCCTATACTTCTCATGCACAGAGGGTGAGATTATCATCTCAGATAGTGCAAACTGCCACATCTGGCATCCAATCCTACTGGGTTACTATTTCATATCACACAGCTCCAATTCCTTGCAGATATGTATGAAATATAAGGGGACTGTGAGCTGCAGCTGGACTGCAGGAATTGTTTTGACAGATTGTACACAGCCCTAGGAAAACGTGACAGCACGTTACAGTTGCAACACCCAATAACACAGGAAAGGGCCGTGTCTGGTGGGTTTCAGCTGAAGATAACGTTAGCATTAGGTGCTGTGTAACACCTATCCACCAACGGTGAGATAGCAATGAACCTCAAGCCTGGGAACTTGAGCTCAACAGGCTCTCTGCAATGAACATTAATTTTTTCTTACAACTAAATCTAATTAAAATCCTGGCAGCAAAAGAAGACATCTCTCCTTGCTTCTAACCCCAAAATATCCCCCACCGTAGTTGGAGACAAAAGAGGGGAAAAGACAAACTGTGCTTGGGTTGCCCCACCAACCTTAAAGGATGTATTTTAGAAAGCCTCCACTTACATGCTAAATGTAAAATGATTTTACCACAGCATATATATATATATGTATATGTATACATATATAATACAAATTTAGAAAGAACTAGAGACCAATGCAAACAAAAATTGGAAAAATAAGAAAGAAAAGTAAGCAAGGAAGCTTTGGGAGTAATATGGGCCAGTTTATTTCCCGAGCAAAGCCTAGGCACAGGCAACTACAACTGCTGCTCTCTGGCAGACAGCTGAACTCAAGGCTAGAGCAACCAAAAGCAGTCCAAGATGCAAGTCAGACTCGTCTTTTATTGCTGACTTATGTTCATAAATATAAAGGATAAAAAGACACAGCTATAAAGATGTATTTTGTAGAATAACATTGCATACGTTTAGCAACTCCTGGAACAGAGTATGATAAAAAGAAAAAAAGCAGGACTTCCAATTTGGGAGCTGCTCAAATGTGTACTCAGAGGTCAACTGTGAGACCATATTTCAGCTGCATGAAGATGTAACTGAAGAACAATAGAGAGAACTTTATAAAAAACAACAGCATTAACCTAAGAGAAAATATTTCATTGGAGGGACTGGAGTCCAAAAAATGACACCACCTGGCTAGCCTGGGAGACAGGAAAGAAGGCTCAAGCACAAAACCAGCTCAGCTTATCCACTGCTGTCCAAACTCACAAAAAAATAAAATACAATACATACAGTAATACAAACAACAAAACACAAAGCTTTTACAACCATTTTAATTATGTAACACGATTGTAGACAGGTAAGTTCTCTTCCTTAACGTGTTAACCTCACAACATCATCCCTTGACCATCACTCCAGCATACTTTCATTACAGCGCTCCATTTCTGGCTGGGTTTGTCTGCAGCACTGCTGGACAACCAAACCCATGTTTCAGAAAACTCATAACGTCACTTTCCCAGAGCGCTCGGGATGCTCTGTGTTGTCCCAGCATTACCCATCAATAGCTACAACTTGGTATTAATCATCCTGCTTTGCAGAACTGTGCCCAGACTCTGCCCACTGTGCACACAGAGGTCCCTGTTCTCAAGAACTTACAGTCTAAACCTACATGTGATGCAGTGCAGGAGGATAACAGCAAAGAATGAGGGTTCCAGGGCAAACTACTCATCTGAGAGAGATGCACACCTCAGTGGTTGAATTAAAACCAACCTGCTCATCGCATCACCCTGCCTGAGCATTACAGGAGAAGCAAGTGAACACAGAAGGGCTGATAACGAGATGGAGGGCACTTCTGGATTAAGAAAGTTCTCTGCCATTCCTTCAGCTCGCTCTTCCTGCTGCATTCCTCAGCTGCCATGGCAAAGGCCTGAGTCACGTCAAAGCACCAGAATCTCTCAGAGTGAGAGATGCAATGGTTTGGGTGATTTGAGGCAAAGGGAAGTCCTTCCTAAGGACACCACAGCCTATGAGGCTGGAAAACCAACCCACCTTGGCAGGTGGGGTGACACGGGGATACCCGCACCACGCAGACCACCCAGAAGTGCTCCCAAAGACACACAGTACAATTCCACTTTGATTTTATTAGGCCACCTCTGCCAGGCAACCCACTTTCGTCACCTCCTCGACTGGTCTCTTAAGACAGGTTTTGCTGGGTATTTTTAAACCTTCTCCAAGAGTAAGCGAGGATCGACAACAAGAGCTAAGCTGAAGTTGGAAGAAGCTCTGCTAGGTAAAGGACTGGTCACTTACAATAAACGCAGAAGAGAAAAACGACAAATATTAAAACAAGCAGCAACAGCAGAGATGCATACAACAAAAGATTGGCAAGTCGCAGCAGAAGAGCAGATTCAGCATCAAGGAGCAGAGTTAAGAGATCCAGAACCCTCAAGCCCAGTCTTCCATCTCAGCGTAGGAGCCATAAGAAAATACCCTGGGGTGAACCTAGACACAGCAGGGTTAACCAGCCCAATAGCTCTCAGAGGCCAGAAGGAGGCAGGCCCATATTCCCTCTCACTCTTATTCTCCTGCTGATCATCTGACACCAGCCTCGAGCTAGTCAGGCCTCGCTGCGAGCAGATTCAACCACAGGAACCCATAAAATGGCTAATGCAGCCAGAATAAAACACAATTAAAACAAGATAGTTTCCTGCCGGCTTAGTGAGACGAAACAGCCTGGGGATGGGCTGGAAGAGTGCCAAAGCTCTGAGGAGGGGATGCGCCCACACTGGCAGAGGCAGGAGGGAGATGAGCCAGTGGAGCTGCTCAGCCACACACCTGACCACGTGCTGCCTACAGCTGGGATGGCGTGGCAGGGCACACAAAGTGGAGAAGGCATCTTGGCTCTGGTAGCATAAACACATAAAACGCAGAAGTCGGAAAGCCCACTGGGTCATCCTGTCTGAACCTCATGTAACGCAAGTCATAAAGTTCCCACTTCGTTACTTCTGAATTGAGCCCAAAGGCTCGAGCATCCTTCAGAAAAAAGTTTCTGGCCTTGAATGGCAGAATCCAACACAGAGGCTCCCCACTATCTTCAGACTGCTCATTCCAATGGTCAATCAGTTCACTGTATAAAACAACAATTTTAGTTTTCATCCAAACTTTTCCAGCCCTGGATTTTGGAAAGAGTTCTGAAATTTATGGCATTTCAGTGCTCCCAGTGCCAAAAGTAAGACTTGTAGCTATGCCTGCAGTCAGTAAAAACTACTACTGCTTACTGGCCTAATTTTGAGGAAAGGAGAAACACCAGGCTGGCCTTTGTTTAATGGAATCTAGCACGCACAATTACTTGATTTTCATACACGAGTACCTCAGTTGCTCAAACCACTTAAACAGCTGCACACCTTTCTTAGCTGAGAAAAAAATGAATGTGAAAGTTAATATTTAAGAGTGCCAAACAAATCTCAGCCCAGATGCAGGGAGCCAACGCTGACATCGCTTGGTATACGCTCACAGCTGATCTTCATAAATGAACTCTAGAAGCGTTTTTATTATTATTTTTAATAATGACAGAAATCTGCAACTCTGCCCAAGGTCTGCCCTGTTGGATGGGCAAATCACAGAATCACACAGAATCACAGAATGGCCCAAGTTGGAAGGGACCTCAAGGATCATGAATCTCCAACCCTCCTGCCATGCAAGGTAGCAGCTACAAGAGGCTTTCCAAACAGCCCAGTCTCAGCGACCCCAGAAAACCAGCCAGGGAAGTTGTTAGGAAGATAAAAATTAAAAAAGAAAGCACAACCACAACAAATACAACCAAAGTTATTAATTCAAAAGAAAAAAAGCTATTTGGGAGTGAGGTGTCATTACTTGTGCAATGTGTCTGGAAAAAGCACAACCATTCAGCTGGCACTCAATCAGCATAGGTAGCACTCTTAGGGGAAAGTTGCCAAATGGGATCTGGCAGCAGCACTGCTGCTCTAGCACACGCTTCGTATGCAACAGCTTGTCCTCTTCTCCCCCCATTTTCCTGCTTGCTGTTGCACCACGCTATCAGTCTATTACACTTAGAGTAAAACACCAGCAGTCACTAGGATGAACGTTTCCAGCCACAACATGTGCTTCAGATCCAGAGACAGGTGAAAGCCACACAGCCGCTACGTGGTCTCCCATGTTCTCCCACGAGCACAGCCACCACAGCCAGCCCTACACCTGAGCACCGCCTGCAGCCTCCCTGCCCTTTACTGGGAGGAGACCAATGGGTCAAATACAGCAGCAAAATCTTCATGCATTTCTGTATCTTCCAGAACTCTACTTCCAAAATTTAAGGGGAAAAAAAAACTAAAACAAAGGGATCCATTTGCAGAGCGGAAACTTAAGGTCACATAAAATCACTTCAGTGTGTACACAACCCAAGGACTTCTTTATTTAGCATCAGACACATCGGCATGTTGGGCTTTTCGCTTTTATTTTTTTAAGGCTTTAATGGGTTTCTTCTGGATTTTGGTAATACTCAAATCTGTTTGGCTACATATTCTTTTTTTTTTTTCCCCTTTGGAAAACAACAAACATGCTGTTCACATAGAGCAACTCGAAATTTGAAAGAAACAAGAAGCATAGAAGGGCCACGCTTTGAAACAAGACAGGAATTGAGTCCACGCAGTAAATTAACATCAACATTCAGCAACAAAAAACAGAACTCAGTACTTCAAAGAGAAACAAAAATATCTGACATCCAACTTCCCAAGCCCACACAATGAAGAGTAACCAACTAGATCTCTAAGGCATTATTTATTTTAAGAACAGTTCATTCTAGGAATAATAACTCATATGCCAACTTTATACTAAAGCAATGAGATGCCACAAGGCCACAAAGAGCAATTCAATGATAAAGTAAAGTCAAGTTACCATTCAAAGTTATACCTATAAACAATTGCCTGGCAGCACCCAGTGGGCCATGGCCTGCTCTGAGCCCTGCACACCTCTCCCAAGGCACAGGACAAGCACTAACCAAGCGGAGAGCCCCCTGCGCTGCAGCTGGAAGAACACTTAAGAGTTCAGGCCAAGCAGCAGCTATCCATTCATCCATCCACCCACTGTCAGGACCAAAGCTCAATAAGAAAGTGGAGCAAATGCAGAAGAGGTAAAATAAGTGCCAGACTTCAGCAAGTAGGCCAGCAACGACCACATAAATCCACAAGACACAGACTTGCAAACGGCATAACACGAGGAAAAAGGGACATCATCATTTCACGTGCCTCACTTTAGAAAAAACACCTGTAATGGGGCAGCAGCAAAGAAAGAACGGGAGAAAAAAATCCTACTGCCAGCAAGGGACGAAGCAAACATCCCCGGCAGCCCCTCCAAGTTCACTTCAGAGGCTCCGGGTCCGAAAGACGGCCGCTTCTATCCCACCAGAAGAACCCCCACCGCCCTACCCGCCCACCCCCACATCCCACCCGGGCTCGCCCTGCAGCGCACGCCGCTTCCCCTCCCGAGGCTCCGGCAGCGGCCGCTCCCACCCGGTCCGGGAGCGCTCGAAGAGCAGCGAGGAGCGGAGCCGGAGCCCGGCCTCGAGCGGCCGACGCTCCGCCACGCCGCCCCACGCTGGCCCCGCGGCCTCCCCGGCCCCGCCGCTTCGCCTCCCCGGCCCCGAGCCGCGCTCCCCGCCCTG